CGCTCGCCTGCGGCCGGCCGCGAGGACAAAGAGGGGGCGAGGGTCGGGCCTGCGAGCGGGGTCGGGGGGTGGTGGGAAAGGATCCGGCCGTTTCGGGATCCCGCGGCCTGGTGTTCACAGGGATGCTGAGCCTGGCGCCCAGCACTGCTTTAATATGCAGGTGAGCGGCACCCCCTCCCCCCGGGGCTGCTCTGAACTGGCTTGCCTGGGAGCCGAGGCAGGAAACACATGCAGTTGTATACCTATGTACGGGTGTATTTGTGTATGTGCGTGCATGTGCACATATACAGGTACTCCTCACTTAAGGTCATCCCCGTTAACTGTTTCATAATTATGTTGCTGATCTACTAGAGAACGTACTGGTTTAAAGTTGCGCAATGTTAATTTATAACCACTGCCTGCTAGTAGGTAACTACAGTGATGTAACTGAATTCATTTAACAACCTTTTGGTTAAAGTCACACTTTTCAAGAATGTAACTACGACATTAAGCAAGGAGTAGCTGTATATATAAGTGTGTGTATATTTTTACCTGTGTATGTGTGTATATTTACATGCCCCTGCCTGAGGTGCCCCCATCCCCCACTGCCATGTCACAGTGTATGTGTGAATTTTTGTGTGTTTATACTTACGTATGTGGGTGTACACACACACTTATGTACATACAGACACACATGTAACCCCCCTTTCCTCCCCCAAGTTAAATGGCTAAATCACAAGCTCCAAAAACAGGCTAATGGGAAGAGAGCCCTTATGGAAATGGAGTTGTTAATTTTATCCCTTGTCTTGTAATGTAACTGAAAACATCACCTACTGTGCATCAAAAATTAGGCTAGTGTCTTAAAAAGGAAAAAAAAAAAATTGCTGGGCTCTAAAAGGTTCCCCCACCCCCTTTGTTTCTCAGAAACTTGGATACCCTTTAAAGTTTGGAAAAAATTGCTGCTTTTCAAAATGAGATGAGGTTACTAGAAACATACTCATTGTGTAGCTATAGTCCAGTACAGCAGTTTTCAGCCTGTGGCCTGCGGACCCCTGGGGGTCCGCAGACTATGTCTGACGGGTCCACAGAAGATGACTGTGCTCAATTAAATGTACGTGAATACCCACACTTACAATTCAGAGGGGTCCACACATCCATTCTAAATTGTTATGGGGTCCGCAAATGAACAAAAGGTTGAAAACCACTGGTTTAGCACCTCTGCAGTTATTGGATGATGGTATTGTAGCCTTGCTAGGTCCCTTCTCCTTCTTGGGAACATTTAGAGAACTAAAGAAACTGACATTACCAAGAGAGGAAGAACTTTTGCATCAGGCAATTGGGGAAGTAATTTTTATTCAGACTTAAAAAAAAAAAAAAAAAAAAAAAAAAAGCCTCCCCCTTAAATAATGCTGAAAGCTAAGGAGCACATGAGACACAGTGCATCTTTGTTGCTGTTTCAACACTGCTATTTTAAGACTTGACAACTCTAAATAAATAGCCAAGTTCCCTAAGAAAGTGCTTAAGGAAAAGAAATAATTTTCTATTTAATAGTGATAGGGCATGGAATCTTTAGGTCATCTTTATTTATTATAAAGAAAAAAGTAGTTTACTGTTTTAGAATAATTATTACTAATATCTTTTCTGAGCTATGTAAGGCAGTGATGCTCAATCTTTTGGTCCAATGGATCAAATGAGTGGTGTAGGGCTTACCCATGGTCCCCTGCGCCAGGATTGGGCCCTACAGTACCTCTGCCCAGCCCACACACCTGGATTGGGTCATATACAGACTTGCATGGCCCCTGTGTCATCCCTGCCTGACCACATACATTAGGATTGGGCCCCATGCTGCCATATATGCCTAAATCAGCATGCAGGGCTCCTCATAGAAAATTTGGCCACTACTTTGTTGCCATCAAATTTTTGGACCCACAGGGGGTCCAGGCTGGCTAACATGGCACCAGGGTCTAAATGTGGCCAGGGATTGAATGCTCCTGAAGCAAGCAACAGCACCATTATTAGAATTTTAAAATTGCCTAATGAACCTAAGGATTTGACCATATAAACAAGAACTATTTTCAAATTATAGTACAGGTTTCCCTCACCAACCACGGTTTGATTATCCATGCTTCAGAGAAGCTGGGGGATACAGTTGGAAAATACCCCCCATGCCCCTGGCCCTGCTTGTGACTCTCACTCCCCCCACCAACCCTCCCCCCCTGCCTTGCTGGTGCTCCTCACCCCCCACCCACAGCCCCTGTTCCCCCAGCCCTGCCAGTTTTGCCAACCACAGGAATTTTCAGAAACCTAACCCCCATGGTTGGAGAGGGAAACCTGTATAGCTATACATCATACTTTATAGTATTTTCAACTTAAGTTTTATATATACTTATTGCAGACCTTTTGTTCATCTAATGTTTAAATGCAGCCTCAATCGGATTGCAATCTTTTTTTTTGTTTTTGTTTTACAAAGAGCATCATAAGTGTATTCTCATGACACGTGATATAGGAAGAACTTTGAGAAATTCCATAGAAGCATTTTAAATCTAGAACATTTAAGCTGCATGTTCTGTGCTTTTCTAGGGTAAATGGCAAATTACTGTAGGCCTGGAATTTTGTCGTAATTATATTTAGAATTCTTTTGTCTGAGTTGCATAACAGTATTTTACCATGGAGACATAAGACTGTTCAGTATGAAACTTGTCATTAAAACAGGTTTGTGAGCAGATGTAGATGGTGTTCTTATTTTTGTTTAAAAGGAATATCTTTAGCCTGCATGCTCTTACCACTTGATGACTCAGTAGGAAGTGAGAGAAGTCATTTCAACCACAATGCTATGAAGAGGAAACTATATATGGTAAAATAATCTCTTACACACAGTATCTTGCACAGATCAGGCAAACTAAGAAGCTGTTCTTAATACGCTCCCTTGGATTATAAAGTGCAACCTTTACAACTTGCAAAGATGTTGGTGGGGGGGGGTTCAGTGTCAAGTTCTTCACTACGTAAAGATGGATGCAGTCATGTATTTAAATGTTAAGAATCTGCTGCAACATGCTGAATTCAGATGACTGTTACCTCAAGGAGTACATACATAATGATGTGGTGCATCAGGATTTGTGCCATTGTTAAGGTTTTATGAGAGAGTTCCAGTTTCACAAGAGTGGTGAATACTGTGTGTTTAAGCATTAGTAAAATGAAAATTGATTATAATTCTTGATCAGGTTACCTTTTGGGGGGGGAGGGGTGTGCCCTCTATTATATAACGTGATGCTCTTGGAGAGATGATAATCTTTGGGGAAACTAAGTGCCTGCCATCTTTTCTTGGACATATTTGACTTTTTTTCCTCCTCCTTTGTAGTCTTTTTATCAAGAAATCTAAAATGCCCTGGGATCTGTCCTTTTGTCATGTTCTTGCTGTTTGCATTTTGTGCATCAGTTATCGGTTGCTGGTGTGACACAACTTCTCAGCTGGAAATCGCAAACATGTACCAGTCTGAACCACTTGAATCTTACTTGATGATACAAAGTGATAATGGAATTTATATTATTTCATTTCAAGGGCAGCTGAAAAATGAGGCTGACTTCATTTATCCCATTCACTAAAGTTCCCTGCCCACTATGAACCTGGGGACAGGGAGCTTCCTAATCTGGGTAAGAGGAGACCAGAAGTTAAAGCATTCTCTCTTCTGTATACCCTTCTAGTTCCTGTGGCACCTGGTAAAAAATTATCAGTGGTAATTGTGGTAAAAATTATCAATGCTGTCAGCCAACACTAACTTAAAAAAAGAGGTGGAAGTAATCAGTTTCTGAACATTCTCATCTTCCCATTTTCTCAAAACGTTAACAGAACACTTAAGATCACTTCCCAGAACAGTGCCTAAAATGGCACATCTCAGTCCTACCATTACACCCTGTCTTTCAGAATATCTAAATCATTTTGATGTTCTCTTCTCTCTAACCACTCTATGCCACAGATCCAGGGAGTGAATCCAGAGGTCTCTGATTGAATGGCTACTGTCGAGTAAGCAAAAGAAAGGCAGTTTGCTGGGAAGAGGCATGGCAGGTTGTTCTGTAGTGGCTGATATAGGAAAAAGCCAGCAGATATTGTAAAGGTTGTTCACACTGAAGTTTGAAAAGTGCAAACTAATATACAAGTTATTCTGGTGTATGTGGTTCATATTTAACTGTTGGCCTGTCACTTTGGATTCAGCCGATTCAGGGGACAGTGATTTGAATCACTGCCGAAATCACCTGAATCAAACTGGCATCTGAATCAAACAGCCGCCGCCGCCC